GTCCCACCCGAGAACAACTTGCGATTTTTTTCGCAATTGTTTTCAAACGTACTGTGTATTCAGTACAGTTCCACGTCAGGTAGGGCAAAAATCACACCTATACATATTATCATCTTCATCATAATATTTTTATCATCATCATCAGTTGTTATTATTATTATTATTATTATTATTATTATTATTATTATTATTATTATTATTATTAGGCCTACTATTATTATGAATAGGATTAGCAAATATTTTCATTCATACACAGTGGCCTATTTACTGGACGTACAGTGCCTAGACCCAACATTTGCAGAAATAAACAGTAGCAATACGTTTTGTTAATATTGTTTCAATATACAAGATATATTATTTTGTTGTTTGAACATCAGGTCATATTGCGCATCACCCACTTTTGGGTTAGGCCTATATGTATAATTACCCGACCCCGAACAGAGAAGTCACCCTTCGCGCTACAGTCTGTAGTTGTTTAGACAAGCGTTTGGTAATAATAAAATGTTACAGGCTAGCCAACCGTACAACTCGTGCGATTATCACCAACATGGTTACTACGGTAGCTGTTTCCCACGCACTGTTTCCTAGGAAATTATTCCCCAGGGAAACCTTACCCTAGATTTATACATTTCATGTTATTTGAAACATGCATAATAAGGAATCGACGCTATTATAAGTACAAGATAACACGGAATCACATTAGACATAGCTGGCACAGTATATCCTATGCATTTTATGTTGTAACCTTTATTCGCATGCACAAAATTGTGTATGCTTTTAATTTATGCTTTGTTTGAAATTATTAAACAAATATTTCACAACCACTAGATGCAAAAAAAAACAAACAACAACAAACAAACAAAAAACATACACAACCCCCCCCCCCCCAAAAAAAAACATTTAGTTACCACTGCTCACTTTTGTGTCACAATGAAAGGGTTGGATTTCGCCAGGGGAGAAGCGGTTGATTTTGACTCAAAAATAGCCTAGCACTGTTTACCACCAGATTGAAATTCAATACAGTTTTAAAGGTTATGTGGTGGTGTAAATTAGTGACGTATCTATGGTGCAGAGGGCGCATCCACTCCCCCAATACTCACTCCCTATCCCACCCATAGAGCTATTATTATATCTCTATGATCCCACCCCATAAACAATGTTGAAAGCAGCAAAAATGTCACGCTCAATTGGTTAATTGGTTTCATTGGTTAGTTAAGTTACTTCAATTCTGGTATATGGTCCCTATGGACAAAATTATTTTCATTCCTGATGATGTTCGAATAAAGAACGAAATATTGAATCATGGCTTCTCTGAGTCTGCATGATATTATACAATTGGTTAAAATTCACCTCAAATCACTTTATTTTGTTAACTAGCGCCTCATACCTAATAATCGATTCCCATTTCACCTTCTCCCCTCCCCATCATTGCCACCCCCATTGCAAAACTCCTAGATACGCTATTGTGTAAAGCGCGTATAGAAGCACTGTGGAATATGCGCTATAATGGAACTATATAATTATCCGAGCAATGCTCTACGCAAATCATTTGATTTATTTTACGAGCAACTGATCTAATTCTTATTCATCATCTCAAAGAATAGGTTAAGGAATATTATTCCTATAATAACTGTGTTTATGGTGGTTATTAATATTTACAAAAGAATGAAGATGTTATTTGCATGTTACTACTAAGCTTTTTAAGTCATTATCGAACTCATACAATTATTATTATTATTATTATTATTATTATTATTATTATTATTATTATTATTATTATTATTATTATTATTATTATTATTATTATTATTATTATTATTATTATTATTATTATTATTATTATTATTATCATTATTATTATTATTATTATTATTATTATTATTATTATTATTATTATTATTGTTATCTTTATTGTTATTGTTGTTGTTGTTGCCGTCGCTGTTGGCCCTGTCGACAATGACATTGTCGTCGTCATGGTTATTATCATTGTCAGTTTTATCATTGTTATTGCGATTGGTATTCGTATTGCTATTATTGATAATGTTATTGCATTGTCATTGCTACTGTTGATATGGCTGCTAAAGTTATTGCTCTGTAAAACCTGAGACACCAGGATTGAGAGTATCAATGTTGAACTACTAAGGGCAGACTTAGACACCACAGTACTAATTTTAAACGAGTTTTTTTTTTTACAGAAGTATGGCGCAAAGAAATGGTGCAAGAGGATTGGAAGAATAAACTTATTATAAAGTTCGCAAAGAAAGGAGACCTGACAAGTTGCAGCAACTGGAGAGGGATCACATTGCTATCAGTGGTAGCAATGGGCAGAGTGATAATTAAAAGGATTGCAGGAGGAGTTGATAAGAAATTGAGAAGCGAGCAAGCAGGTTTTCGCAGAGGAAAAAGCAAAACACAGCAGATATTTGTCCTGAGAAACATGAGGATATGAAGCAAAGGATTGGAAAAGCCTGTGGTGCATTTAACAAGCTGTGTAAGATATGGAGGAGTGGACAATTAACCCACAGAATCAAATTTCAAAAAGTCCAATGTAATCAGTGTTTAATTGTATGGATGTGAAACGTGGAAGATGATGACTAAAGGTGATGAGGATAGACTAGACACCTACGCATGGAAAGAAATGACATAACATAGGCCTACCAAGAGTTGCTTTAATATGGACACTAGAGGGCAGAAGGAATGTGGGAAGGCCAAGGAAAAATTGGAGAAGAACTGTGGAAAAGGAAAGAAACCAAAAGGGATACCAAACGTGGGCAGAGGCAGCATTAGCAGCTCAAGACCGAGGAGCCTGGATGAGGAGAGATGCTAGAAGCCCTATTCTCCACTCGGAGACAAGGAAATAGTAGTAGTAGTAGTGGTAAACCGGAGGCAGATAAAACATAGGCCTGCCGTTTTGATTTTGTTGTTGTTTTGTTTCTTCTTCTTTTCTTCCGATATTGTACAGACCACCAGAAATGGTGTATTACGTACATCAATACGTCTTCTCCTTATATTTACTACTGTTAAGGTTTCTGTACTTTTTCAGTAAGCCTATGTTATGGCGATTACTAATTAAAGTTCAAATTAATAGGCCTACATATCGACAATTAAATGTACACATTATCGTTTTATCGGATACGTGAATTATGACATTCAACTTATCAGTCATCAGTTGATATGATTATAGCTAAATTTTTATTTTTTAAGACAATGTGGTTTGGAATTACTTCACTTTTAATAACTCTAAACTGAATTACAGTTATGCCCTTGTTCCGTATCCTACTTAAGCCTGGCGTGCGTCCTATGCCCGCTGCGTGCCAATATGAGAAAGTGTATTTTGAGTAGGTAACCGGTTAATAAGGTCGTACTGTTATTTCTTTTGTTTTTTGTTTTTTGTTTTGTCACAGATAGTCGAGTGCCCTCCTGCGGTCAGACATCGCTATGAAGTGATTTCCGGTATGCGCAGGCGTACTGAAGTTTCTAAGCACGTCTCTCAGAAAAGTTAGCACGGCACGATGATATGCGGTTGTTCCACCCATTAGTCACTAGAAGTGTAGATTGCGAACACGTCGGACTTCGTAATTCTGAGATACAATGCTTTGAACCACGGATTGGAATATGGTTATTTTTCGATTTTAAGGATTTATACGTGAAGGTAAGTTTTAAGCTTATTTATTTAAGTACCTGGTTGTGTACTCGAGTTTTTCTAGTTAGTGAAACAGCTAGGCTGAGTTTGTAACTTTTAAGTTGGGCGCCGAGTGAGTGGGCATAAACGAATTACCGTGGGCATTGGTATGCGCAAGGAGTAATTCGAAGTGGAATGTCGGAGGCCCAGGTTAATTACCTGTTGCAAGATTTCAAACAAATGTTTAAATTGTGGATATAGTACAACTGGGTGTACTGTAACATCAATCGGGTTCACGCACGTCAGGCTATCGGAAACATATATCATAGACAGGTACTATCGGGACTTCTATATTATTTGTTTTTAATGAGATTGCTTGTTTAGACTGGAAAGCGAGTATAGTTTACTCAATAGGTTCTTCCGTCCTTCCTTTCTGGGCTTCCCTTTACTGTACTATTCAATTGAGCCTATTCCATTCAATGTAGGCGTAGGCCTTATTTAATTGACATTTGTTAGTGAACTAATTTGATTATGACCGGGTGTTGGGTGGATCCATAAATTTAAGCTCAATTCTGATTGACAACTTGGCAGTCATTTGATGGCTAACTTCTGTGATGGTTAACTAATATAGGCAGTTTAGTAGTACAGTATTTCCAATCCATTTCCAAGAATAGATTGTGACTCATTTTGGTGCAAAAGTTCTGTGTATTTTTTGAGTAGTCTAGTAATGTTGATCAACTGTGCCATATGTCCGATTCACACAAGATAGTATATAATTTATATGGTAAGTGTTCTAAATGTCCCTTCCACTGAAGATTTAACAAGATATTCCTACCAATTTTCACATAGACGAATACAAACCTTGTCCTAAGTTGGTACTGTACATACCATAATGAATATATAAGCAGGGTAATCTACCACTTTATCATGTACAATATAAGTATGCCTACTTAAATATATCACCATCTTCTTTCAAAATAAGTAAGTGGAAGCAAACCCAGCTATGTTAATTGGTGAAGTAGGCCTACAATATATTCATTTAAAACTTTCATATTAAAGAATAGTGGTGGGGAGAAGGAGTGGGAGGCAGGTAGTGGGGTGTTGTGAAGAAGAAAGAGTTAATCTCGTATACTATTTTCATTCCTTCTATAGCTTTTTGAAATACTGTATAGTATGAAGGTATTATTCAGTAAATGTGTTTTATTCAATATAGGCCTAAAATCAGGTACAACGTAGTAAGAGGTTTAATAAGATAGTTAATTTGTATTGTCAGGCACATAGTACAGTGTACAACAGATAAAAATAAAAATGCTAATTGAGTTTGGCATGTACAGAAAAATCAACCACAGTGAAATGCAAAATTTTGTTAAATAAATGTAATTAAAATTATCCATATGGTACTACGTATTTTGTTACAGTACTCTAAGCAAAGCTTATCCCTACTGTATTATTTAAGGAAGAATCTATTAAAAATTGGTTTCAATGATTTGAAAATTCTACACTACATAAATTGTGATACATAGAAAAGTGAATTTAATCAATAAATTTGATAAACAGGTACACCTAGTTGTAAAACATTTCCTGATATGAAATATTTCTCCCATTAATTGCTACTCATCAGTTTTACTTCCTTGATCCCTTATTGAAGAAGATTAAATTGTGATGGCTAATGCACAGTGACATTTAGGGTCAGTCGGTTTAGATTTTTTGTTCTGTTTTTAGTTTCATAGTTGTACAGTAGGCCTAATTCTAGTTTATAATTACCCATCACTTATTCCTGCCCTGTGTATTTTGATTAGTAAAATTTTTAGCACTTGGCATATATTGGTTAAGGTAATATATTGGAAGTACCAATTTAGGGTCAGTCGGTTTAGATTTTTTGTTCTGTTTTTAGTTTCATAGTTGTACAGTACAGGCCTAATTCTAGTTTATAATTACCCATCACTTATTCCTTCCCTGTGTATTTTGACTGGTAAAATTTTTAGCACTTGGCATATATCGGTTAAGTAATATATTGGAAGTACCAATTTAGGGTCAGTCGGTTTAGATTTTTTGTTCTGTTTTTAGTTTCATAGTTGTACAGTAGGCCTAATTCTAGTTTATGATTACCCATCACTTATTCCTGGCCTGTGTATTTTGACTGGTAAAATTTTTAGCACTTGGCATATATCGGTCAAGGTAATATATTGGAAGTACCAATTTAGGGTCAGTTGGTTTAGATTTTTTGTTCTGTTTTTAGTTTCATAGTTGTACAGTAGGCCTAATTCTAGTTTATAATTACCCATCACTTATTCCTGCCCTGTGTATTTTGACTGGTAAAATTTTTAGCACTTGGCATATATCGGTTAAGGTAATATATTGGAAGTACCCTTTTAAAAAAATATTATACTGTACAAATATTTGAGATTACAGTACCTCTTGAAAAAACTATTTTTTGGGCTGGTTAGGCTTTGGGAACACAAACATTTTTTTTTCATCCATCTATAAGAGTGAAGGAATTTGAGCATGGTATTCTCTTTCATTGGCTTATTAATAGATAGTTAATCAGGAATCCCATAGATTAGCAGAGTTGTGATAACTGAAAAGTTTCCTGTGTCTTTCTCTTATTTCAACTTCATGCTGATTGTTGTTCCTAGTAAATATCTCAAATTCTTTAACTAAGAAAATCAGTGGTGCTGAGCACAATGCTAAATCCTTTCAAGGTAAAGACTAACACCACTATTGACAGTAGAGGCAAGTGAAGTTTAAATAGACAATTTAAATCCACTCAAATAAGTGAAAATAGTAAGCTCTCTTTTCATGTATTTGTTTACTTCAAGGTTATTTGAAGAGTATTTCAACATGATAATTGTTTGAGGATCAGTTGTGTACAGGAGGGGGGTGATACATTTGAATCTAAATGACTTAAACCGGATGAATTACATTAACAATTGTCAAAATAGGATGTTTTGAACCTTTTAGTTGGTTACTACTGTACAACATGGGGTTAATATGAATGCTGATCAGAAAATCTATGAGACTGAGATTCAAGTCTGAACTGGAATGACGAAGGCTGGTTTTAGTTAAAGAGAGCTGTTAACAAAATACGGGACAAAGCAATGAATAAGAAGTAGCTGAAAAACATGAATTATAAAGAGGTTAGTGTGGGCTTTGGATGTGAGTCATGGACATTAAAGAAGCAGGATATTTATAGACTGGAAGCGTTAAATGTATAAGCTGTGGTGAAGGTTGGAAAAGATCAGACATAACAGAGAGAATCTTATGTATGAGGAAGTACTAACAAGGGTAGAGAAGAATCCCGATCTGATGATTTACAGTCGTCATGATGAGAAAGAAGAAATGGATTGGTTCTAGTTGTGGAATAGAATGATAGATGAAGGATGTAGTTGAAAGAAAAGTGCATGGAATTAACCCAGAAAACTGTAGGCCTACACGTCAGTGAAAGAAAAGCATTAAATGGAAGGAGATTGAAAAAGTTTGTGTGAAGAATCTTCCTTACGTCGCACAGAACTCACGGTTGCAAAAAAAACCAGTAATACGTACATAACAGATAGTATAATTACTGTATGTCCATAAATAATATGTTAAGCTCTTTCAAGAATATCATGGTTTTTGCACAAAAACTGTTGTATGCCCATATATAGACATGATATGCCTATTTATAGTCATGATGTGATGTCATCATGACTATATTTAGGCATGTCACATTTTTGTCAAATAAAATGTGATAGTATGGACAGGACTTTATAATCTTTGATTTTGGTTGTAACCTGGATAATAATTCATTTGACTATTAACATTGGAATTGCCTTAATACATTTAAAACACCAGACTTATATATAGGCACTTAGAGAGCAATGATAGTAGTTAGTTAATAGTGAGTTTTTAAACTGCAATGTACAAGGAAATTGTTAACTTTAATTGTTGATGATATTAGTATTCTAAAACAGTAACATTCATAGAACATACTAATTTACTGGGTTTTAGAGTGCTGTAAAGTAGCTATATATTATTGTTATGGATGTTTAAGTATTCCAAAGTTGTATTCTATTTTGTATTGATGTTCTGCGTAATCCACATTACCGTTTTTTATTATTAACTCAATTAGTGCTCCATTACTCAGGCATTAACACCCTCTTTGTGCTTTTCCAATGAATTAACACGAAGTGCTCAAGTTTTTGATAGGAAATTTATGCATCTGGTCCTGATATTGAAATTGTCATCATGTGACTAATAAGTGAGTCTTTTGTCTTTAGTAGGAACCTGTTGAAATTAATCAGGCATTGTCAACTTTTTGTCATAACTCAAACCCTTCAATGTTCTCCACGTAATTGCAAATTTGATGTAGACTAATCATATGGTCTACATGGGATTTTTAACATGATTAAAAAAATAAAGAAATTTTTATTGTTTACTGCAGGATTTTAAGCAAGTTGTTTTTTGTTAACTTCTACATAATTAAAACTAAAAGATGATGATGTTTTTGATTGCTGTTTTGTGATATAAAAAGCTGACTTTAATTCATAAAATAAAAGATGGTGAAAATTTCTGGACATTGTGTGATACAGTATACAGTAGTCGCAGCAAATCACAGATTCCACCATTTATAATTACAATGTATCAAAAGGAACACAGCCAAAACTTTTCAACATTCAACTTCAATCATAAAAAAGTAATTGATTAGAAAAAAGATATACAGTAGAAACAGATTCACTAAATCACATTAACAAGTAGATTCAAAATTCATAGTGACAAAAATTCCAAAAAGCATTTTTTCCCGTTAAAAATAGTTTGATTCAATCGCAAGTGACATTGCCAATTAAATTTGGTAACTATTGTTGTCTTCTGCCATATTGTTACACTGTAGACCGTAGGCTTTATGGCCTAACTGTACAGTAATAAATTTTGTATTTTCTGTTCAGTATTATTATATATCGTTCCTGTGTCTTTTATATTTTCATATTTTAATAATGTTCTGCCATACACAGTGTATCTCAGATTATACTAACATTTTGATTAAAGAAATCTTATATATTGTATTTTGCTTCAAATTTTATATAATTAGATGGTATAAGCCTTATTCAGACTATTGTCATGCCTAAATATGGTCATGATGACATCACATCATGACCATATATAGCATATCTTGACTACAGTATATACGGGCATACGAAATAATTTTGTCTAAGGAAATTTGATGATCTTGTCAGAGCTGACAGCTTTGTGTTTGTTGTTTTGTTTGGAAAAGAAAAGATTCAGACATTAGATAAAATTGTTTTCTACTAGTTTAACGCTAATACAGTATATGACCTTTTGTCTCATGCTCCTGAACGAACTTCATAAATGGCTCAGTTTTACAGACACCTTTAAGGCAAATACCATTTTATTGAGCAGTTAAATAAGAAAATGAACACACTGAGAATTTTTGCAACAGATCACTACCTACATAGACTAATTTCCTGTCAAATCAGTTTATGATTTCAGTTTGAAATGTACAATGGGAATTTTTGATGAGGATGAAAATGTGTTTATTAAAAGCATTTATCACAAATTAATGTCTTTATTTTGATGAAATATAAATTAAGTTAATATTATAAGAATTGAGTCTACTGTAGTACTGTACACAATTTTTAGAGCTTTTTCATTTGATGTGCATAGTATGGAGCTACTGTATGTACTGTTACGATGAATTATCAAATACGGTAGCAGCCAGAATGTAGTACCATGACAAAATATATGAATAATAATATTATCAATATTAAAATTGTATGATAATTTGCATAAATTATATCAGTAGAGCCTGCATTTTATTTGTATTGTTGGTATGGCCATGTTTAGATACCCTAGGTTGATGGGTTGTGATTTGATTCAAGCTACATTTCAGCCCTAGGTGCATTTATTTCATGGCTTAATAATAAAATATCGTGCTTCTTGTCATCATTGATGGTAAAATCCGGCCTACTTTACTACAAGAAGAAGATAAAATAATAATTTAGATTTCATTTACTTGTTAAACATGAAAGCATCGTGTGTCTGGATGAATGGTATTTTTATCTATACACTCATTGACACGTCAGATATGATGCATCTATTGTCATGTTTAAAGATAAGCATAAATGAATAGACTGTTTACATTACATACAGGATGTTTGATTAAATGGATATTAAAGATTATCTTTTGAAATTCAGTGAATATAATTGAATATCTAATGATATTGTACTATCAAACTAAGTGTCAAAATCCAATGATTAGTTCTACCAGTCAGTTTTATAAATGTCACGTTCAGTTGCATAATATTCTGTCTTACTTGGCATTTCAATTGTTCATGATCTCAATATTGATGGCATCAGAACATTATGGCTACGGTCACACTAGTGTCTCAAGCCTGGCTTGACTCACCGCGGGTGAGATTTCAAGCCAGACTCGAAATTCTGGGTCGGTCAAACTAGTTGGATTGACCTCCAAATTATGAAAGTCGAAACAGCAGAGCCATAGAGTTTGGCCAACTCTGTTTCACAGGATTCGATATACACACGTGTGATTGGGTGGATCGCAATCAAAGATTTTACACCAGACATGCCCGAACTACTCTTCTTCAACTGATCTTTTATCAGCTTGTATTGGGCTCGCAACGCCTTCACTTTTGTTTTAATTTGGGCCGTCGTTCTCTTCTCATGTCCGAGACTGGCTAATCTGTCAGCAAGCACGCCAAAAATTCCCGTTTTGTTGTTTGTTTTTT